TTTAAGGGAAGAGAACTATACACCACGTAGAAGGGAGCGGCCGGGAAGGCCAAGGATGCCGCGAGGCGCCGGGAGGCGCCGGAAGACCAGAGGGTCTAACCGCATAGAAGGGAGGGGCTGGACGAGGCGAGGGGTGTATGCAGGCATAGAAGGGGAGTGGGCTGAGGAAAGAAGCCTACTATGGGCTGGGTGAAGAGCTATCGCAGCTCGAAGTATGCTGTGGAGTGTGTGGAGGGGAAGTACCTCAAATCGGAAGTGAATCCGGAAGTTATTCTGAGGAGAAGGAAGGGCAGGCGAATTATGCTTGCATAAGGGAGGTAGTGAATAATTTTGGGGATTGGTATATGAAGTTAAGAATCCTAACAGGTGTGATGGTAAAGTTAGAAGTTAATATATCCTAAAATGTGTGATGGAAGAGGTTAGAAGTTTAATATATCCTAAAGGTGAATGTAAGGTTGATGATAGATAAATATATTCCAAGGCGGATGGTAGAGTGGTGAGGGAAGTATAAATATATCTCCATACGTGAGTGACGTAACAGTATAGACAGTCATTTCACACATATTTAAATAAAAACAACTCTTGTCAGCACGTCCTAGTCTTAATGAAGTTAGTTCTTTCTTAGTTAGTTCTTAATGAATTACATAAGGAAATTTACTTTATGTATGAAATTGAGTATGAATTTAAAATGATTGTTTTGCAGCAAGTGACATCAATATTTAGCCCACTTAATGCATTGTTCAACATACAGTATCCACGCATGTATATTAATTTCTTTCAATGCTCTTAAACACTGATTCCATAACTAATGTACGTCCTAATTATCAAACAGTCGACAATTATGCTAATTACCACAAGTGTAACGATAACATTATTAAACAATCATATATATATTTAATAATTAGTAGATGATGGTTTCGCATAATTTTTTCCGTCCCATTTAGTTTTTTTATTATTCCACAGGGGTCGAAATAAGCGATGGTCCAGGGCCATCATATAATCAAGAGGACCATCAGATTTTCAAAGTCAATGATCCGATGGACCCATCCCGATGGTCCCCCCCCCCCCTTGATGGTCCATTGAATATTTTGGTCCCATTTTACGGTAATTTTCTTTGAAGTTTCCACGTGCAATATTCCAAGGATAGTGAGGATTATGTTGAAGAGGAAGATGAACAAATATTAGATAAGATGGACATGATGGAGTGTGCCAAGAAGGCTTATAATCGCTTGAATTATCTGCTTGACTGAAGGAATGTTAACTGTATTAGATGAATGAATGTGCTTCTAATAAATATTTAAGACATACTATATTCCGGTGTTATGGGTTCAACTAAATTTTACTGAAACAACTTTATTAACCAATATACTATTAAAGTGAATAAACAATTACTGTATCGTTTAAACTTTAAAGTGATTACGTCACCGTAAATAATAAAAAATAAAAATTACTGTTAAATTGCTGCATTATACTTCTTATTTTACTATATTGTTCGATGTGAACATACACTCGTGACTCATACATAGCCATAGCAAGCAATTAATGTTAGGAACATTAATATCAAATCGTCCAGGTTTTTTGGATTTTTAACTAGTTGAGAAACAATCTTATCAGGTAAGAATTTGACGATACGTTTTGTTCGGTTAGTTTTACCTTTAATGTAAAAAAATGGCAACAATTTTTTTTACAAATTTTACCATAGAAAATTCGTGACCTAGTCAATTTAATACATTCATTGTAGGTGAATAATTAAACCATTTTATCACCATGTAAATTCTATTTCTTAGGCTTGCACACCGCATTACTATTAGAGAACAATCTTGTGGACCATATCTTTTATCTCCTTATTTCTACCCCTGCTGCCATGGTTGGTTATCTGTAATCATGCTGATGTCGCACTAATGGTAAAATATGTAGCATTGAACTGAAAGGAAACCGAGCAGGAAGATGAAGGGATATTGGTACACAGGTGGGATAACTGTATGGTAATGGTAAGGAGAGGTGAACAGGTGTGAAAACTGCATGGTAATGGTAAGGAGAGGGGAACAGGTGTGAAAACTGCATGGTAACGGTAAGGAGAGGTGAACAGGTGTAAGAACTATAACTTCTACCACCTCTACCCATCACACCTATAGGATATATTAACTTCTACCACCTCTACCCATCACACCTATAGGATATATTAACTTCTACCACCTCTTCCCATCACACCTTTAGGATATATTAACTTCTATACCCAATCCCACAACATATCTCCACTACCTCCTTATGCAGCATAACTTCCCTGCACTCTCCTCCTCCTCCCCCCAGAACATACCACTCTGTTCACTCCCAGATTTAGGGTACCTTCCCCCTCCACCACCTCACACAGCATACTTCAGCCTGCAGAATACTTTCTTTCACCACAGCCCCCTATAGGCTATCTCTCTCCCTCCAGCCCCCTCCCCCTTCTATGCTGCATACAGCCCTCGCCCTTCGTCCTCCAGCCCCCTCCCCCTTCTATGCGGTATACGACCCTCGGCCTCTCCCCGGCCCCCTCCCCGGCCGCCTCCCCAGCCCCCTCCCCCTTCTACGTGGTATACGACCCTCGCCCTTCCTCTAGACCTCCCCCTGGCGCCCCCTGGAGGATGCATTACCCTCATCGTCGCCCTTCGTCAGCTTGTTGACGATCTTCGGCGTGTTGTTCTGCTTGAGCACGTCGACGCTGACGGGCATGTCCTTGAACAACCGCAGCAGTTCACGCATCGACGGCATGTTCTCCGCCTGCCGGAAGTCCTGCAGCCACTCGTTGAGGACGTTCCAGCCGCCGCGCTGCACGAACAGCTCGAGCACGTCGCGGTGTGAGGTCGCGCGCAGGATGCTCAGGTAGACGCAGCGGCCGGGTAGCTTGCTAGTCTCCTTCATCAGGCTGACGAATACACAACGCAAAACACGCGAGGTCAGCTGGACGGATCTGCTACAGACTAGACAGGGAGTTTGGTGCAGCATGATCTGCTAGCAAAACCCTGTACATAGAGTTAGCTGCTCTATGTGTTATTTCCTGCACAAAAGTAGAGTTAAACTGCTGCACCCTTTGGTAGCAAAACACTGTGGAGTTAGCTGCTCTATGTTATTTCCTGTACAACAGTAGAGTTAAATTGCTGCACCCTTTGCAAGCAAAACACTGTGAGTAGCTGCTCTACATGTTACTTCCTTGACAAAGGTAGAGTTATAAACTGCTGCAAAACTGCTGCATCCTTTTGTAGCAGAGTTTAGCGGCTCTGCCTGCTACTGGCATGACACAGAGTTGAGGTAGCTGCAGCATCCTTTGCTAGCAAAACACAGTAGAGTAGCTGCTCAACAGAAAGTAGATATCTGAATTTACAAATTCGTACAAACACACAGCATTGGCTTTGACATAAAAGCTACAGTAAGAAAGCGGGAAGACTCGATGGATAGCAAATGACTTTCAGCTTACCTTATGACTTTCTCAACCTCTTGTGTGCTCTAATGTTCCTGAATGTCCAAGCATGGGTGCTATGCTTTAGCAGCTCCAGAGGATCAACACGAGACTGAAACATTTAAAAAAGCACACGTGCACCATTAGAATTTAAGCCAACTAAATACCCACACAACAGTACCATTATACCGCTCACGCTACCTATAACAAACTCGTTAACAGTATTAGCCAACCCCTTAGCAAAATGATGCCTATTAACTTGCAGGGCCCAAACAACCAGTGCAGGGAGAATACCAATAATATCAATAATGAATACAATACAACAGCTGGTGACTGACCGGGATCTGCAAAACGCCTAACCTGCTGCCCCACCCGTAGGATTACAGACATAACTAGATAACTCGGAGAGCACAGACCTCTGCCAAGGCAGCTGAATTCTGTCACTGTGAACAATTTAATTAATTATATTACATTGGAATCGCGGAATGACGACCGAATGTTAATCAATTCTAAAGTACGTCGATTCTGGAGCGTATCACTGAAAATTTTAGTTAATATTACTGTAATTAATTAATTAATAATTATTGGATCCGGATCACCACCAAAATGTAATCAATTCTAAGTTACTCCCCCCATTTGTGACCTATCTGAAATATGTTTACTTAATAATTAATTAATTAAGAAGAATTAATGGATACCGGAGTCACCAACCAAATTCTCATCAATTCTAAGTAGCGCCAATTTCTGGACTTGATCCTAAATATTTATGACAATCCGTCCATAACTTTTCCATTTTGATTTG